TAATCCCTGTCTGACATTTACGTTCATACTTAAGAATAAGGCTTTAAAAAGCAAAATGGAAGCAGTGTGGGCACAGGTAGGGCTTGTTGATGGTGGATTTTTTTTGTTGAGGGAACCTCTAAGTCTTCCCCTTAGGCTATTCAGTTCCTTAGAGAAGAACTTTATAATCTTCATAGGGGATATAAGCCAGCTGCCAGTTTCCCTGAGTGGAGTCTGGGAAGGTGGCTCTGTGTATCACAGTTTATTATGCAGACTATCACTTTTGTTTCAGTCCAGGTAGTATATAAGTTCTGTTCTCCTTGGTACCTGGGGTCTCCATGTGCTGAGCCCTTCCAGGGTTCAGGCTGAATCTAGTCTTCTTCTTTTTTCTTTCTTTTTTCAGTATCTATTACAGCATTTAGAAACCTTTAAATAGTAAAAGAGGAAAGGAAAGGAGAAAGGTCTCTGGAAGAAACAGGCAATTATAAAAAAGAAGAAAAAAATTTTCAGTAGTATTAATAATCTTAGAGATGAGAAAAAAAGTACTGCAAACATATTGTCCTAACCCCAGTACTCTCCCAGTTCAGTCATTCACCTCCATCCACTTTGTACCTTCTGAAGATTCATTGAAGTCTGGTTAGCACTCATGTTCTGTTCTCTTTGCCCTTGTGGATATGTACATTTTTTTAGTTCTTAAACTCCTTTTAGCAGAGATTGGAGAGGGAAAGGAGATAATTGTGTGTGATTAATTTGCTGTGATTAATTGGAAATCCTCTTTGGTTGTGAACATACTGACATAGGGTATTCATGGAGATACAGGTTTGCTGCCTAGGTGAGAAATTTAGGTAAGGGATAGATATTTAGACTTCATCAGTTTAACATTAAGACTATTGAAGCTATGGAGATAGATAACATTTCACAAGGGGGGGAGTTTGAAGCATGACATTCATTCATTCATTCAACACGTTTATCAAGTACCTCCCTGTGTTGGCAGGGAGATGATGGACAAGGGTGGAATGTAGGGAAAGAACATAAAAACAAGGCAGAGGGAAGGAAGCCTTTGGAAAAGCAATGAGAGGTGGGAAGAGGATAAGAGGGAGAGTTCTCACTGTGAGAGAGGGAAGTCTTAGGGGTGGGAGAGTGGGCCGTTTTCTATAATTTTAACATACTTTACTTGTCTAAGGGTTCAGGTGGAGTGTGCAAAACCCTCCTATTTGATTATTCCACTAATACTTATTGAATTTCCAGCACTGCTAGATTCAGGGGGGATAGTGGTCAATAACACTGCCCTAATCATGAACCTATTACAGTTTACATCCTTGTGGATAAGACATTTAAACGAGTACCTGCCTTACAGCACAAACTATAAGGGTTTATCAGGAGGAAGCTAACCTTTGCTGGGGTTAGAAAAAGCTCCCAGGAGAAAGTGATTAAGCTCAGACTCAGTTTTGAGTCACCTGAGTAAACAAAACTTAGCATTTAATCATTTTGGAGGCTAGAGAGTAAGGAATGGGCTTAGAAGAATGCTGACACCATGTGTAACCTTTCTTTCTATTAAGGACCAAGGGTAGGTGATATGACAGCTTTTGAACATCAAAGGGACTTTCAGATGGCTTGTATACATTGATACTACTCAAAGTTATAAGGGAAATTTCTAAAACTGTAGCCATTTTTAAAGAAAACTTTAGAATTCCATGGGAAAGTAAACCTTGAAATCCAATGATAAAAATAGACCATCTGTAGCCTTGGGGTCTGAAGTAATACAGATGGGGTTATTTATTTAAGAAATAAATTCTGGTGATCCAATGAGCAATTCAAAGGTTGGACTTCCACAGGCTTGCTTATTATGATACCCATTGCCCAGGTGAATAACAAGAGTATGGAGTAGTGATGTTACACTAACAAACTACACTTTATGACTTAGACTAAAAACTTATTTTTCATTATTCAAAAAGAAACATAGTAAATAATAATCAAGTATCGACTGTGCCATTAGTATTCTAAATTAAATTCATATGCGGGTTTAATAAAGAAAGAAAGTTACTTTACAGTGAATATTTACCTACTACTGTTGATAATGGCAGTCTGCCTGAGAGAGAAAATTTTCCAGAAAGGGGTGGTATCTTGAATTTCCTCTTAAAATTGGAAGGTGGTAGGAACACTCAGAAGGGAAAATATTCAGTTACCTGTCAGTAGGGAGAAAGCTGTACCTTATGAGCAGGAGCAAATGCTGGGAAGGAACAGTGCCCTTTTCTTTCCCAGAGACCACAGAATTGCCTCCTTTCCCTGCCTCATTCATATGCTCTAAGCTGATGGACTGAGCACAGGAATTGGGTAAAAAGGAGGAGCCCCTCCCTTCCCACGAGCTCTGTGGTCCTGGGAACCACTTGAGGGCTAGAAGGGATGGGAGCAGCGCATGGGGTGGCGTGGGAGTGGAATGTTTTCTTAGTTTGAATAAATTTACCAAAACTCTCCAGCACCTACCTGTCCCAAACTCCCACTCCTTCGACCAAGGGCTTTCCTCTGTTTGGTGTAGTCTGAGATGCAGGGTGCCTGCGTGGGAAATCTAAAAGGCAAATCTTAAAAGGTGTCTTCAATAAAACAGAGGAAATTCTCACCAATTTCTTTAGATGCCTGATGAAGACATCAGATGATCTCAAAGGCCCCTTTCTACTCTAAATTTCTATTATGCTGTGTAGTTCATTTTTGTATTTTTATAAGCAGGCTTAGGTCACTGTGTATCCCTAGTAAAGACCGTGAGCACAACAATCTACCACTCCTTTTTTCCCGTGTCCTCTGCCCCCATTCTGATGTGTGCACTCCTACTAAGGGGCTGAAACATTCATACGGACTACAGGACCCCCTTTGATCTGGTCCACTCTCCCTCATACCATCTTTCATCTTGTTAGTGTTACTCCTTACACTCCGAACTTCTAAAAGTTCCTTCTATGAATTATATGGTTCCCATCTTTTATGCCCTTTGCTTATTTCTGTCCCCTCTTTCTGGAACACACTCTTTTTACCTTCCTTTGCAATTCTGCCCCATAAACTAACTTGAAGTTTTGAAAGCGACCATTAAATCTCAACTCTGGGGTCACTTCTGCAAAGCCTTGCCTGAGTTTCTACTCCAGCCAGGTCAGGACCCTTCTTTCATTATAAGGATCCTGTGTGCTCATTAATCTTGCAATGTTATACAGTTGACCCTTGAACAATGTGGGTTTGAATGGTGCAGTTGCAAGAAAAACATATTTGAAAAATTTTTGGAGATCTGTGACAATCTGAAAAAAAAAATTTTCTCTAGCCTAATTTACTGTATGAATGCAGTATAGTATGTATAACAAAAATATGTTAATTGCCTGCTTATGTTATCCATAAGGCTTCCTGCCAACAGTAGGCTATTAGCAGATTAGTAGTTAAATTTTGGGAGAGTCAAAAGTGATATGTAGATTTTCCATTGTGCTGGGGTTAGCACCCCTAACGCTTATGTTGGTGAAAGATCAACTATATGGTCATTAGTTGTTCTAAGGGGTCTAGATGCACTGTTCTCTAAGTTTTCTAGATTTAAAATTTTTATAATACTTTGATTTCACTTACTCTGAGATTTTGAACCCAAGTAATTTGAAGTAGGACATTATGATTGACAGAAGCCAGAATCATAAAATATCAATATTGGAAGGCGCTTTTAAAGATAATTTTGTTCAGTCACAAAAGTTTTTGTTTTGTTTTACATTTAGTGAATTTGAGGAGGGTACTGTCTATACAAATGGAAATATTTCAGCATGTTTTGGGAATACAAAATTATAGTACATACTGGAGAAATTAACAGAAAAGGGTCGATGAAGCCTTCAAGGGAAAGAGTACAGAAAGAAAAAAGGGACAGGTGACCCATTATTAGGTGCCTAACAGGACATGATTCAGAGATGCCAGGTCAGGAGACAGAAGATCTGCAGAAGGAGAACCAATGTAGTGTTATAAAAACCAGAGAAAGGAGTGTTTCAGAAGCAGGGAATGACCGTGGGGCCAATACTCCAGGGAGGCTGAGACAGCAGTGGTCCTGTATAGTTAGTTCCTCTGGGATGTGACACCTGCTCTTGGAAAGCAGGAACCACTGAGAAGGAATCTGAACCTCTAGGAGATCAGACTGGACAAGTTTATGGAGACCCCAACTCCTCCAGCCAAAATCTAAACTCAAGTAGTTCTTGACCTTTATTCGGGACTCAGAAATATATGATAATATGATGAAATCTATTAACTCCATCAGAAAAATGCATATAGACCCACATACATGTACAATTTTGCATACAATTTCTCATGATTTACTTTACCAGCCCCCAAACTATCCTACTGAAGCCTCAACGTGGACCCCCACAGTAGAACACGAAGTTACACTATCAGGTACCAAAGCTTGCTTGGGTGATGAGGACAAATGATACACTTGAGGACTAAGAACTGTTTCACCGTGCTCAAATCTTAGCTGGTCTAAACCTCTGGAGGCCATAGACATCCTCTATTTTGCTTTATCCTTCTCTGGGGGAATAGGCTGAATAGAAGTACTCCTTGGTGCTTCCAAGTCTGCAAATTGAACATTTTCAGGATTTCTGTTTGTTGACTAACCAAGCTACTATCTTTGGCCTGTCAACTGCTGAGCTTCTCTATGCCTTGGCTTCTGAAAAGGTCTCCCTCAGAATTTTAACCAGCAATCATGACTTACCTCATTTCCGCCTGTCTGACTTCTGACTTCCACTTCTTTCAAATGACTCACCTTGTTTATTCCTTTTTTTCAAATTAAAGAATTTAGGAAAGCATTGAAAGCATTCTGGCTTGTAGAAATAGAAAAATGACTGTTTAAATGTTTAGGGGAAAGGGAGCAGAGTTACAGGCAGCTTTTGCCAATCTCTGCCCAAGAGAAGAGCAATGACATGGAAAATTCAAAACTGGACAATTAAAAAAACTATCATATTTGTGATTTATGTTATAAAGTTATTATGCCTATTTTTCTGATTTTCTTTGGATTACCATAGAAATGTTTTTGCAGTGACTGTGAAGAAAATGGAAACCATGTTGGGAAATTGACTTGAGATACCAGTGTGCTCTGGTTGACTCAGGTATGTTTTTAGGAATTGAGACTTGATTCTCTTCAAGAGAGAATTGTAGAGTTTGATAAATAATAGAAATTTCTTAATGTGGAACATGAACTTTGAGTGAAAAAATAAGTAAAAGTAATATGTGAAAGAATATTAGTCTAGAATTGATTATTCTCATCAATTGTATATTTGATTTTTAAAGGGATGTGAGTTTCAATAAAGAATAAAAACACTGCCCTCATTGTGCAGTGGAACTTTCAGGGTGCTGTGCCTGGTCTGTGTGGTATTGTGGTGTTAGATTATACCTCCACGCATTTTTCAAAACTCTTAGAACATACAGCACAAGAATAACTTCTACTGCCTGTAAAAAGCCCCCAAAAAACAAAAAATCCAGGATGTCAGGGGAATCCAGGATGGAATGCAGACTGTGACAAATGAATCTAAGTATATTATAAATATAGGGCATGGTCTCTGAAGGGGATGGGAAAGAAAGAAATTGGTCCAAATAACTATGGAAAGCAATGTTTTGCCTAGATACTGTAAGGATAAAGACAAGAAGAACTACAAAAACATTGATATTGCTGTAAGAGAAAGAAGTGACAAATAAATGGATGGGGTTGGGAGGTCAGAGTTTACTATACAAATAAGGAGGTACAGATATAAATACAGATACATGTGTTTACAATGGTTAGTATAATGCATGTATTTTCCAGCTCTGTTCCTTGAGAGAAGCAATGGCACGAGAAGCAATGAGCACACCTGAGATCTTGGTTTCTAAATGCTAATCTTCAATAAAAGGAGCCAGGATTCCTTAGAGAAATGGCTGATTGATTGTAGGGCTGGGTCAGGAAACATACAAGATGAGCCTGGGGAGTCAGCAAGTAAGTGAGTGAGGAGATGAGGGTGTGTCAAAAGGACACGGGCCCACCTGAAGGAGCTGCTGATGGCCAAAGCTGGAGGGTTTGAGTAACAAAATACATAAAAATCACACTGGATTATAATCTAAAAAATAAAATTAATATCCATGGATGATCATACCCATATGGATTGAATAAATAAGTAAATAAATGAGCATGAGGGGTTTGTGGAGGAACTACTCTTCCATACAGAGGAATGCCAATCAGTAGAAGACATGAGGAAAGTAGAAAAATCACCATTAGAACATCACAGTGGTACAATGGAATATTATTCAGCCATAAGATGAAAACAAATCTTACCATTTGCAACAACATGAATGGAGCTAGAGGGTATTATGCTCAGTGAAATAAGCCAGGTGGAGAAAGACAAGTACCAAATGATTTCCCTCATTTGTGGGGTATAAGAACAAAGCAAAACTGAAGGAACAAAACAGCAGCAGACTCACAGACTAGAAGGGACTAGTGGTTACTAAAGGGGAGGTGTGGGGGAGTGTGGGTGGGGAGGGAGGGAGAAGGGGATTGAGGGGTATTATGATTAGTACACATGGTGTTGGGAGGGTCATGGGGAAAACAATGTAGCACAGAGAAGGCCAGTAGGGACTCTGCGGCATTACTATGCTGATGCAGTGGGGTGTGGGGGGGAATTGGTAATATGGATGAATGTAGTAACCACAGTGTTCATCATGTGAAACCTTCATAAGAGTGTATTTCAATGAAACCTGAATAAAAAAAAAATTAAAATGGGGGAAAAAAAGACCACCACAGTGGTAATTACTGCAGGCAAGATCCACTGGTGAAGGTAAAGGCAGCAGATGAAACTTTAAGGAGAAATAGGGTATTTTCATTGTTTCAGAGTATCTCTAAAGGACTTCCCTTCACTCATCACAGTAGTGGTTTTCACACAGTTTTAAATGTTAGGATATACTGTTCCTCCAGGAGGTGGAGCTTAACTCATCTTTCATGGGGTGTGCCAGACTTAGTGTCTCCCTTCTAAGGAAAAGAATTGTTGGGTAAACGGAAGTATTCAACCAGAAATATGCCTGGCCTTGATAGTGATATGCATATAAGGGCTTGTATGCATATCAATGTGATGTTCACTGTTGAAGAGCCACAGGTCCCTTAACAGGATTGCCAGTCAGGGGGTAAGGGGAGGGGAGAGTAGCAGCCATTCTCTCCTCCCCTCCTTTCCTGGTATGTACTAGGTCAGGTGCCTGCCAGTCACCAAGGACCCACCCATAGAGTTCCTCCTGAAAGAGGCTAGGGTAAAGAGCTTGCTGTGGCCAGAGAGGAAGGACTTGGGAGTGCGGAAGAGAGAGAGCGCTAAGCAGCCCGGGTTGCCAGAAGAGAGACTGAGCCATGAGAAATAAACCTTTAATATCTAACCCACACTGTCGCTTGTCTTCCTTCAGTCGCATGAGATGCAAACTTGCCCCTGGCAGGGAACTCCCTTCCTCCCGGAGCCACAAGATTATAGAGAAATCTGGCAGACACCACATTAACCAAGTGACCAAGGTTAATATCACCAGTGATAAAACAAATCATGGATTCCCTGATGTGATGGAACCAGAAAGGCACTTCACTTCTATGGGATTCATCGCCAAAACCTACAACCTCAGTTTGATCGGGAGCAAATATCAGACATACCTGAATGGAGTGACATGGTACAAAAACCTGACCACTCATCTTTGAAACAGTCAAGTTAGAAAAGACAATGAAAGACCTAGAAACCATCACAGATTGAGGAGACAGTGGAAAAAACTAAATGCAACCTAGTACCCTGAACTGAGTCCTGGAAAAGAAATCCAAATAAAGTCTATAATTTAGTTAATAGTATTGTACCAATATTAGTTTCTTAGTTTTGATACATGTATCATGGTTAAATAAATGTTTATAAATGTGAATGTATAAATATACCATGGTTATATCTAATGGTAGGATGAAGAGAAGGGTATATGGGCACTCTCAGTGCTATGTTTTCAACACTTTTGTACATCCAAAATTTTGTACTTCCAAATTTTTTTTCTTTTTTTTTTCCTTTGGTATTATTAAACTACAATTACATGAACAACATTATTCATGGAAGGGGGTTATTAGACTCCCCCCATCATCAAGTCCCCACCACATACCCCATTACAGTCACTGTCCATCAGCGTAGTAAGATGCTATAGAATCACTACTACTCTTCTCTGTGTTGTGCCCTCCCACTAAATTTTGTATGCTAATCGTAATGCCCCCTTTTCCCCCTTATCCTTCCCTTCCCACCCATCCTCCCTAGTCCCTTTCCCATTGGTAACTGTTAGTCCATTCTTGGGTTCTGTGGGTCTGCTGCTGTTTTGTTCCTTCAGTTTTGCTTTGTTCTTCTGCTCCACAGATGAGTGAAATCATTTGGTACTTGTCTTTCTCCACCTGGCTTATTTCGCTGAGCATAATACCCTCTAGCTCCATTTATGTTGTTGCAAATGGTAGGATTTGTTTTCTTCTTATGGCTGAATATTAATCCAGTGTGTATATGTACCATATCTTCTTTATCCATTCATCTACCTGTGGACCCTTAGGTTGCTTCCATTTCTTGACTATTGTAAATGTGCTGTGATAAATATAGGGGTGCATATGTCTTTTTCAAACTGGGCTCCTGCATTCTTAGGGTAAATTCCTAGGAGTGGAATACCTGGGTTAAATGGTATTTCTATTTTTAGTTTTATGAGCAACCTCCATACTGCTTTCCAGAATGGTTGAACTAACTTACATTCCCACCAACAGTGTAGGGGGTTCTCCTATCTCCACATCCTTGTCAACATTTGTTGTTGTTTGTCTTTTGGATGGTGGCCATCCTAACTGGTGTGAGGTGATATCTCATTGTGGTTTTAATCTGTATTTCTCTGATGACTAGCTATGTGGAGCATTTTTTCATGTGCCTGTTGGCCATCTGAATTTCTTTGGAGAAGTGTCTGTTCAGATCCTCTGCCCATTTTTTAATTGAATTATTTGCTTTTTGTTTGTTGAGGTGCATGATTTCTTTATATATTTTGGATGTCAATCCTTTATCGGCTATGTCATTTATGAATATATTCTCCCATACTGTAGGGTGTCTTTTTGTTCTATTGATGGTGTCCTTTGCTGTACAGAAGCTTTTCAGCTTGATATAGACCCACTTGTTCATTTTTGCTTTTGTTTTCCTTGCCTGGGGAGATATGTTAATGAAGTTGCTCATGTTTATGTCCAAGAGATTTTTGCTAAGAGTTTTATTGTTTCATGACTTACATTCAGGTCTTTGATCCATTTTGAATTTACTTTTGTGTATGGGGTTAGGCAATGATCCAGTTTCATTCTCTTACATGTAGCTGTCCAGTTTTGTCAACACCAGCTGTTCAAGAGGCCATCATTTCCCCATTGTATGTCCATTGCTCCTTTTTCATATATTAATTGATGGTATATGTTTGGGTTAATATCTGGACTCTCTATTCTGTTCCACTGGTCTATGTGTCTGTTCTTGTGCCTGTACCAAATTGTCTTGATTACTGTGGATTTGTAGTAGAGCTTGAAGTTAGGAAGCGAGATCCCCCTGCTTTATTCTTCCTTCTCAGGATTGCTTTGGCTTCTTGGGATCTTTTTTGGTTCCATATGAATTTTAAAACTATTTGTTCCAGTTCATTGAAGAATGCTGTTGGTAATTTGATAGAGATTGCATCAAATCTGTATATTGCTTTGGGCAGGATGGCCATTTTGATGATATTAATTCTTCCTAGCCAGGAGCATGGGATGAGTTTCCATTTGTTAGTGTCCTCTTTAATTTCTCTTAAGAGTGTCTTGTAGTTTTCAGGGTATAGGTCTTTCACTTCCTTGGTTAGGTTTGTTCCTAGGTATTTTATTTTTGATGCAATTGTGAATGGAATTGTTTTCCTGATTTCTCTCTCTGCTAGCTCATCGTTAGTATATAGGAAAGCAACAGATTTCTGTGTGTTAATTTTGTATCCTGCAACTTTGCTGAATTCTGATATTCTACTAATTTTGGAGTGGAGTCTTTAGGATTTTTTATGTACAATATCATGCCATCTGCAAATAGTAACAGTTTGACTTCTTCTTTACCGATCTGGATTCCTTGTATTTCTTTGTTTTGTCTAATTGCCATGGCTGGGACCTCCAGTACTATGTTGAATAACAGTAGGGAGAGTGGGCATCCCTGTCTTGTTCCCGATCTCAGAGGAAAAGCTTTCAGCCTCTCGCTGTTCAGTATGATGTTAGCTGTGGGTTTATCATATATGGCCTTTATTATGTTGAGGTACTTGCCTCTATGGCCATTTTGTTGAGAGTTTTTATCATGAATGGATGTTAAATTTTGTCGAATGCTTTTTCAGTATCTATGGAGATGGTCATGTGGTTTTTGTCCTTCTTTTTGTTGATGTGGTGCATGATTTTGATGGATTTTCAGATGTTGTACCTTCCTTGCATCCCTGAGATGAATCCCACTTGATCATGGTGTGTGATCCTTTGATGTATTTTTGAATTCGGTTTGCTAGTATTTTGTTGAGTATTTTTGCATCTATGTTCGTCAGGGATATTGGTCTGTAATTTTCTTTTTTGGTGGGGTCTTTGCCTGGTTTTGGTATTAGAGTGATGCTGGCTTCATAGAATGAGTTTGGAAGTATTCCCACCTCTTCTATTTTTTGGAAAACTTTAAGGAGAATGGGTATTATATCTTCTCTATATGTCTGATAAAATTCAGTGGTGAATCTATCTGGCCTGGAGGTTTTGTTCTTGGGTAGTTTTTTGATTACTGATTCAATTTTGTTGCTGGTAATTGGTTTGTTTATATTTTCTGTTTCTTCCTTCTTCAGTATTGGAAGGTTGTATTTTTCTAGGAAGGTGTCCATTTCTTCTTGGTTTTCCAGCTTGTTAGTATATAGATTTTCATAGTATTCTCCAGTAATTCTTTGTATTTCTGTGGCATCCGTCATGATTTTTCCTTTCCCATTTCTGATTCTGTTTATGTGTGTAGATTCTCTTTTTCTCTTAATAAGTTCGGCTAGAGGCTTATCTATTTTGTTTATTTTCTCAAAGAACCAGCTCTTGCTTTCATTGATTTTGTCTATTGTTTTATTCTTCTCAATTTTATTTTGATTTTCTCTGATCTTTATTATGTCCTTCCTTCTGCTGACTTTGGGCCTCATTTGTTCTTCTTTTTCCAGTTACAATAATTGTGACTTTAGACTATTCATTTGGGATTATTCATCCTTATTTAAATAGGCCTGGATTGCTGTATACTTTCTTCTTTGGACTGCCTTCCCTGTGTCCCACCGAAGTTGGGTCATTGTGCTGTTGTTGTCATTTGTCTCCATATATTGCTTGATTTCTGTTTTGATTTGGTCACTGATCCATTGATTATTTAGGACCATGTTGTTAAGCCTCCGTATGTTTGTGAGCCTTTTTGTTTTCTTTGTACAATTTATTTCTAATTTTATATGTTTTGATTGGAGAAGTTGGTAGAATTTCAGTCTTTTTGAATTTACTAAGGTTCTTTTTGTGGCCTAGTATGTGGTCTATTCTGGAAAATGTTCCATGTGCACTTGAGAAGAATGTGTATCCTGCTGCTTTTGGGTGTAGAGTTCTGTAGATGTCTATTAGGTCCATCTATTCTAGTGTATTGTTCAGTGCCTCTGTGTCCTTACTTATTTTCTGTCTAGTGGATCTGTCCTTTGGAGTGAGTGGTGTGTTGAAGTCTCCTAAAATGAATGCATTACATTCTATTTCCTCCTTTAATTCTGTTAGTATTTGTTTGACATATGTCAGTGCTCCTATATTGGGTGCATATATATTTAGAATGGTCATATCCTCTTGTTGGACTGAGCCCTTTATCATTATGTAATGTCCTTATTTATCTCTTGTTACTTTCTTTGTTTTGAAGTATATTTTGTCTGATACAAGTACTGCAACACCCGCTTTTTTCTCCCTATTGCTTGCATGAAATATCTTTTTCCATCTGTTCCCTTTTAGTCTGTATATATCTTTGGGTTTGAGGTGAGTCTCTTGTAGGCAGCATATAGATGGGTCTTGCTTTTTTATACATTCTGTTGCTTTGTGTCTTTTGACTGGTGCATTCAGTCCATTTACATTTAGGGTGATTATCAAAAGATATGTACTTATTGCCATTGTAGGCTTTTGATTCTTGGTTACCAAAGGTTCATGGGTAGCTTCTTTACTATCTAACCATCTAACTTAACTCTCTTATTAAGCTCTTATAAACACAGTCTGATGATTCTTTATTTCTCTCCCTTCTTATTCTTCCTCTTCCATTCTTTATATGTTAGGTGTTTTATTCTTTACTCTTTTGTGTTTCCTTTGACTGCTTTTGTGGATAGTTGGTTTTATTTTTTGCCTTTAGTATTTGGTTGGTCTGCTTTCTTTGCTGTGATTTTATTTTCTCTGGTGACATCTATTTAGCCTTAGGAGTGCTTCCATCTAGAGAAATCCCTTTAAAATGTCCTGTAGAGGTGGTTTGTGGGAGGCAAATTCTCTCATCTTTTGCTTGTCTGGAAATTGTTTAATCCCTCCTTCAAATTTAAATGTTAATCATGCTGGATACAGTATTCTTGGTTCAAGGCCCTTCTGTTTCATTGCATTAAATATATCATGCCATTCTCTTCTGGCCTGTAAGATTTCTGTTGAGAAGTCTGATGATAGCCTGATGTGTTTTCCTTTGCAGGTGATCTTTTTTCTCTCTCTGGCTGCCTTTAATACTCTGTCCTTGTCTTTGATATTTGTCCTCTTAATTATTATATGTCTTGGTGTTGTCCTCCTTGGGTCCTTTGTGTTGGGAGATCTGTGGGCTTCCATGGTCTGAGAGACTATTTCCTTGCCCAGTTTGGGGAAGTTTTCAGCA